TATGCAATTAAATAACTTTATAATTTTTAAAGGTATCATGCCTCCTAAGACAAAAATGATGCTTATTGGCAATTTAAAAAAATATATAATCGCTAACTTTACATTGGCTACCAAAATGAGCATTGATTGTAGAAATGGGCATATACTATTTATATTTATTAACAACGGAGAGTTATTTAATAAAACTGTTGCACAAGTTTATGAGCATTTTAGCATTAACACTTGCAAAAATCAAATCCAAAAACTTTTTAGTGTAGTAAAAAAACGGTCTTATAACTTTTCAAGAAATGCCACTAATGTAGCTGACTTTTGCAACAAGCCATTTGTGTTCCATGCCCTGGTGCTGACAGTCTCACAGTCATTGCCACTTACCTCTAGTCCATTTGATACTGTTTCTCGTTCTTCAATTGCATCATCAGAAAATATCAGTTTTATATCTCCAGTAAGTAATGTAAAGCTAACTCCCACAAGCAATAGCAAAAATAAACAAAATCTGCATATTTTACAAGAAAAAATGACTCTTACAAAAAAAAAGTTACAGAGTTGGTTATTTTATTTGACATCACTATTAGCTAACTCTTCTAAAGAACAACGTTATAAGATAGCATTATTGAAATCTGAATTGAACAACATGCCCTACAAAATAAAAGTTTAAAGATGTTTAAAGTTTAAGCATTTAAAGTAAAAAAGAAATTATAAAAGCTTCGAGAGCTGGAGTTAGAAACTTGAAACAAAAAATTTAAATCATGTTACTGCAATAGGTATATTCACAATCTTGTAATGAAAAAAAGAAAATGAAAATTGAAGTTAGAGAACAGCTAAGACAAGTAATGCTCAAACATAATACTGTTAGTAGAGAAAATAAAATTGAAATTGCTAGATTAGAAAATGATATGACCTAAATGGAGAAGGTTGATTGTATTGCTTCAGTTACGTCAGGAGATAATAAAGCTTACTAAATACAATCTAGAATGATAATCTATAGCATTTTATTGTGTAATGTTCCAACAGGTAACATTCTAATCCTATTGGAAAAAACTGCACAATATTTTAGTGTTGGTTTGTTGCATATTCCCAAGCGTATTACTGTGTTCATATTAATAGTGTCCACTTAAGGTCAAAAAATAAATGTCAGATCATTGCTTTGGACCAATTGCCTGGATTGTCTGATTATGATGAAAATTTAATTATAATTGTCTGATGATTATGAAAAATATATAGGTAATGCAGTGGATAATATGGCTTCAATTTATTCCAATTTTCAACACTACTGTATTTTGTAACACAACTGCTATAAAACTGTGTATTCGTGGCTTATTTGGAAAACTTCTCAGTGGGCCATGGATGACTAATTTTAATTTGATAGTGATAAATCAAGATAGTGAAGAGTTGATGGGTATGTTTAGTGAAGCTAAAGGGAGATCCCTAATGCAGCTATTTGTTATATATCTTGCAAATTGCGATTTAAAAAGAATATGACTAGATTATCTTGATAGTCTTGACCAAATAGAGAGAGAAAATGTAGTTAAGTGGTCTATTAAAGCAGCTCGTATAAAAAGAATAGCAAATTGAATTATACTGCATTATGAGCAGAGATTTCAAAAAGACAGACATACAAAAGGCAAAAAATGGGTGAAAAAGAAAAAAGAAAAACGGAGCGAGTGCTGAGTTCGCTATCTTTTAATGAAATAAAGAATTTATATGAGCACTTGTCTACTAAGCAACTTGATGACTTATATGATTTAATGTATGAAAGAATTGTTGGAAGAGAACTCTGCCATGAATGGTTTGATACAGATAATAGCAAGTCTGTCATCTATGATGGGAAAGTAGAAAAAGTCAATAAAAGAAAAGAAGACAGAATTTATACTATTTCCTTCTGGAAAAAAAATGAAACTGTTGACCATTACATGTAAAAATTCCAACTTGCTGCTGATATTGTATCAGGAGAGTTGATATTTTCTTAATTTAATATGCTTTAATGTTACTCATATTATTGTGCTTTAATGTTACTGTCTAATAGAAAAAGAAGTATTGCATGTGGTGTGACTTGCAAAAAGGTATTGAAAAAACAGATACTTTTTTGCATCTAATGTAGTGAGATAATTTTTAAAATTGTTTTTGTTGTTTTAAATAGCTTTTCTTTTTTTTTTTTTTTTCATAATTGCAGTTTTTTCCTTTTGTTTTGAAACTTTTTTATGTTTTTTTGGATTACAAGGGAAAGAAGGGGGGGGGCGGAACCCATTCATTAATTTGACATGTAGGCCACTAGCGTATGTTATAAAGTAGTATAATATAATTTTTATTTTCAATACAAGGTAATTTTGTTGATGCAAAACAGATGCAACAAGTGGTGACTTGCAATTAAAGTACCGCATATGGTGTGGCTAGCAAAAATATACCACAAGTGCAAAATAGTAATGGCAAATGGTGTGACTTGCCAAAAGGAAACCGCAAGTGGTGTGACTTGCATAGAAAATACCGCAGGTGGTGTGACTTGCAAATATGGTAATGCAAGTGGTATGACTTACAAAATAGGTACCACTAGTTGTGTTACTTACAGAAAAGGTACTGCAATTGGTATGATTTGCAATTTTTATGATAGACAACTCTGGATTACATTCTTGTCGAGTCTATTATTAAAAATGATTGTTATTTAGTTTCATTGTGAAACTTAAACTTTTAATCATTCACTAAAAGCCAAGACGTAAGTTAGTATTTGTTGTAATTCAAAGTATTTTTGTTTTTAAATATTTATTTTAGGTGGGAGGGGGGGGGGGGATTCGAACACCGATATAAAGAAAGAATGGCAACATCTTATAATGTGGTATATTGATGCATCTTGTAATGTGGTAAAATATGTTTTTATAATAATTTTTATTATCTTATACAATAGCGTTTAAATTTTTTTAATCGCATTACAAAAATTCTTATTTTAGGTTGGAGGGCGTTGTGGCACACAACGCCCTCCAACCTAAAATAAGAATTTTTGTAATACAAAAAAATTTTGTATTCATTATTAGGCTTACTTTTTTTTAATAAAGATAAAAATACTTATTGAAATTTTTTTTTAGTTAATGGGTGTGTTAAACTGACACCCTTACACCCACCATAACACAATAATAAACTTCTCTTAATTTGGAATAGTCTGAAACAAATTATAACTACTTCTTGCATATGAAAATTAAAAATTCCAAAAAAAAATTACTCTTATTTATAAAAATTTGCATTTATTACCGGATAAGCTGTTGGTTCGGTTCCCCCTATAGCCCCCCTGATACGCCCTTTGGCTAGCGACCAATATAATTTTGTAGCCTATTCTAATACCTATCTTTTGATACCAAGTTATAGGCATTTAGATAAGAATTGACAAGTTTATGATGTTTTTAGTCAAGAAAAATATTATTTTGACCACAGTTTCTTCAACAAATCTATATATCGAAAATTCGGTACTTAAAACGTTATAACTTTTCGTCAAATTGCTCGATTTTGATAATTTTTTCACTTTTAGAATACTGTATTGAAGCTCTTTAAAATGATATATAACAATCTAATGCTTAATTAATTTAAAATTTTCATGCTACGTACCTATATATATATATGAATACAGACATATATATGAATATAGACATCAAACATCATCAAAACATATCTAAAATTAAAAAAATTAGTTTACCTTTAAGAATCCTCATCATTGACATTAAAACATTCTTCAAAAGAAAAGTTTTTATTTTATATGTAATAAAATATAATAAAATCAGCTTATGTAAAGATGAAATATTGACAAAATAAAAAATTAGATGTAAGAAATACCATAAAACTGACCAAAGCAGAGTATCTAATTTTATCTAAATATAATTTTCACAAAAATATATTTATATTTCATTTAAATAAGTACAAAAGCATTATGAAATGTGCAGATAATCATTCAATCATATATATATATTTAGAAGATAAATTTTCTTGGATATTTACAAATAGTAATAAAATAATAACTTTAAACACCGTTTAAGTATACATTAACATTATGAATATACAATTATATATATACATATACATATATATATATATATATATATATATATATATATATATATATATATATATATATATATATATATATATATATATATATATATATATATATATATATATATATATATATATATATATACACACACATATATAAATTAGAATTGGTTATATTTAAAAAACGCGCTAGCTAAAAAATCTAAAATTGCTTTTTAATGTGACAAGTTTGTATGTTAAAATTTTACTTTAGCTTCCATAATAAAACCTTTTTCCAACGGAAATATCCGTATTTCAAAATTTATTTTAAAAGAAGGAAAATTTCCGTTCAATTTTGTTAAATGGGTAGTTTCCTCATAAATAACGGAAAATAATTACGTAAAAGTACGGAAATTTTTAATAGTGTACCATTAGTCACAATTTTAACATCTTTTAACTGAATAGCTCGAATTGTGTCTTTTACTTAATATTATTATTAATACACTCTAAAAAAAATCCCGTTAAAATTAACGGAGTGGGTTACGGAGTACTCCCTCATTCTAGCACCAACAGAGTACTCTGTTAATTTAACAGAGTAATAATTTAACGGATTCAATCCGTAACTCTAATGTAACAAATTACTCCGTAAATGTTAACGGATAGTTCGTTGAAATTACAAAATACTCCGTAACATAAAAAAACTATTTTGTTTATCATGAAAACCTGCTGAAATAAAACAGTTATAGATGTTTTATTCTGTATTATTTTTGCAACAAAGTACTCCTATAAACTTAACAAACTAATTATTAGTGTTTATCTAAAAATTAGTTTAACTGATTTGTATTAGAGATGATGGTTTTAGACAACATAAACAGCAACAAAACATTTGTAAAAATAAATAAAAATAACACGTAACAAAATTGTAAATCTTTATGTATATTAAGATAAATAAATGATACATTTAAGTAAAAACATATTTAGAGAGTGTTGCCTAATGGAGTGGTTGAGCCTCTCAACCACTCCATTAGGCAACGAACCATACTGCAGCCCATAAATATCTTGCATAAACTGCCAGAACATGATTGTTGATGGCTGGTATTCAATGTTAAAGCATCAAAAAATCTTGAATAAACGATCGATGCCTTCTACGATAAATGTACCGGCTTCAATCAAAGTTTTTTCAAATGCAATCTTTATAGAGAGAATTTTTTAACCCTCAATCCCCTGTATTGATATTACCGGATAAGGGGACTCTAACTTTTCTGCAACATCTTGCAGTCCGTGCTCAGCCTAAATTTGCAATGAAACTTTTGTTATCTCGGTTACAATATTATTATAAATTGTATTTATATATTTATAAATTATAATTTTTTGTTTTTTTTTTAATTTAAAACTGTAAATCAACTAAAAAACAATTTCTTACACTGCATATCCAAATGATTTCCCTGGCTACTTCTGGAGCAGAACGTTTCTGTTTCCCCCTTGTCGCAGAAGCGAGCACAAAAGCTTGCATGCATAATAAGCTTTCCAATCTAAAACAAATATATAAACCATACGAAAACGTAAAAGTGCCAAACATACTAAGGTAATTTTATGCACAATATTTGTGAACAAAAAAAAAGAATATCTTTAATAAAATTAATGCAAACCATGATGCTTTTTAGATGCCATTATAGCTAGAGCTTTGATGTAATCGCTATTTGACAGTGAAGCATATTTTAATACTGGGTCTGCAACAGTCTGATTAAAGGTTTTGAGGATATCAACCATGCAGTCTAAATATTTTAATTGAAATTCCATATCAATCTAAAAATAAATATTTTTGAATACAATGCCTAAAACTGTATTAATCTTATCAATTTAATTGCTATAAATCATTTAATAACAAACTATCTGTACAATTATTTTATTATCACTTATACATGTATGAATATTATACACTAAAGTTTCATATCTGATAAAAAGAGCCACAAATAATTTTGACAAAAAAAAATACCAGCTCTGGAATAATCCTGAACTTTGGAAATTTAACCATCAGTCGGGATAATGAAGGTTGATTTGTTGAATGAACCCAATTCTGCCAAAAACAAAACGTTGACTTTGTAGAAGTCTTAACTTCTTCTACACGTGTAGAAGATAGTGAATCAAGCTTTTCAATTTCATCGAGGTTGCTCATTCCTGAAATTAATTCAAATATAAAAAACACAGAGCAACAATATAGATATTATAGTCAACAATAATTTTGTAAGACCTATATTACTAGGTCTTTTTTTTTTTTTTTTTTACTTAGTAAAATTGTTAGCAACGAATAATTAGTAAATAATAAGTCTTTACAACATATATGTTTTTTTATAACAAAAGGTTTTCACAACAACTTTACAGATATAGATAATTAGATAACCTAAACATAATGCGCAAAACATGAAACCACGGGGACACCCTTCAGGTTCTACTGCATGATCCACTGGCTGAGATAGTTCAGCACCTGCAAGTTGAGTTGTATCACAACAAGTTGAGTCGGGTCCCCTTTTACGAGACCAAACAAACTTTTTTTCTGATCCTAATATACAAAAGAAAATATAGCTTGTAAATGTAGCTGCTTGTATAACACAAAATAAGGCAATGATTCAAATAAACTTTTAGTAACTAAAATGAACTATTTGCAATCGAGACATACAGTGGAGAAATAACATCACAATAACACACAACAAGGAGATTACAAAGCAAGTTAATAATATAAAAAAAAGTTTGTCAGCATCTACAGTTAAATTTATATTCAATTAATTTAACCAATTTTAATAAACACCAGGTAACTTTCTTCTAGCATTTTCCAATCCTCTCTCCAGGAAGCCATGATAATTAGTAGAATCATAAAAAATGCATGCTGGAAGTACCAGTGCCTCACTTAGCACTGCTGCCACTAAAATCTTTTGATATCGATCAGAATAATTACCATACACACTCATCATTTTGTGCATAACAACTCGAATGATGTGCTGTCTAGTAGAGATTGAAACTTTACCAGATTCGATCTCTTCAGTATATTGACAAGTACTCTATAAAGTAATACTTAATATTGCTATTCATTAAAAAAATACTGTTCACAAAACCTTGAAAAAAACTATTTTTGCTAAAAAAGCAAGTAAAGTAAAATTATTGCTAAAAAATTATTACGTAAAAATACGTACAACTATGTATGTATGTAAAAACTATTTAAGTATTGTACTTACAGGGTGTTGTGCAAAAAAGGCTTTAATCGAATTAGCTGAAACAAATGCCTCATTTGCACCTTTCATTATATGGCTGTTGTTAACAGAAACACTAGATTCTGAGAGCGTAATACTGGAAGTTAATGTAGTTTGATTTGGCTGCAACGAAGGCAACTCTAATGGTGAATTTGATTTTGTCTGTATTAAAACAAATGATTTTTTTAAAAATTATAAAAACAGTTTATAAAGTTAAAACACACTAGAAAATGCTAATTTCAAAATATTACAAAGTATTTATAATGAAAAAAAGTTTATTAAAGAATTTACACAGTAGCAGTCTTTAGTTGTAATTTAAATTGATTTACCGAAATAGCATTAGTCCACTGCTGACCATCTATGAGTAGAATGAGAATTGTGTTTGATTCTGCTAATTGTTTTATTATTTCAAAATCAACTCCATCAACTTCTGTGCCATCATTTTCGTAGACAAAGCCAACAAGTTGATCTGATTTCAAACCAAACTTGCAACACACTGGAATAACAATACATAGTCATTTAGCTTTTTATATACACAACACATAAAAATTCAGACTAGTTCAAGTGAATATATATGAATACACAGTAACAACTTCATATACAATTAAACAATTATACATATTTAATAACTAAAGGTTTATATATTTTCCAGTTTGTAATGCATAAATAAAAAAACAATTAATATTTCTACTTTAAATTTTTTTTCTAAAAACTTGTGTCTTTACTTTAAATTTTTATTCTAAAAAGTTGTGTCAGCAACTTTGTAAATCTCAGATTTACAAAATTGCTGTATTTGCCGTCTTCTCCGGCTATACATGTGACATTGTATGGATGATGGTCTTTGAGCTGATTTGTATGTTAAACAAGCAGCGTATTTGGATTGTTAGATTTTTTAACTTCAAAAGAATGAAAATGTTCATGAAAATTTAATGTTTCAAATGGATAGCACACAAAGTAAATTTGTTTTGCAAGAGAAACAATGCATTTTAGCTCTCCAAACTGAGAATGACTTTCCACGATGCCATGACACAAAACACAACCCGGCTTGATTTCATAACAGCCAAATTTAACTGAATGAGCAACATATTTCATCACAATTGTCCACGTTTAAAACTGTGCGAAAACCATTCGATACTGCTGATTGCAAATTGTCTACAATTACTGTATCACATATGCCAATTTGTACATAGTCTGTATACAAAGACCCACTAAACAATGTATTTGCTAGTTTGAGTTGACTACAATGTATAATAGTTTTGCAAATGTTTTTAAAATTGCGAACAACAGAAGCCAGTTCTTTAGCAAATCGATGCTTTGCCTCAAAACGCATATACTAGTACCTGCTTAAAGGCCCATACTTTGCAATAAGTTCTGGATAATGTAGCATAAAATGATGTTTTGGAATAAGTCTCTTCTCAGGATAAAGGTTTTTAAATTGGGCATGATGTTCCTCCAAATTAAACTCCAGCTGACGAATAAGGCCAACAGTTATAGTTGGTGCAAATATTGCATCCATGCAATCAAGTAACATTAGTAGAAGTCTCTAATAAGCATCACCTTCTGGAATTAGGTTTCCAATTATTAAAGGCAGATTTCTTATCAAACACCATGATTCAGCAGCTTGAATGCGAATATTTTTTAAGTTTATTTCTGGTGGTTTGCTGTTTTTGTCAGCCAATGAATAGTTATAATTATTGATTACATTGTTGATATCTGCAAGCAGAAACCAGGCATATTTCTAAAGGTACAACACCTTCTAATACATCATGCATGCAGTCAACTGCACTCTGGTCTATGCAGTGAAACTGTGACAAACAATTGAAAGGACAACCATGCTTAATGCCAGATTCTGAAGCATTGTAGTTATTGTTTCTATGTTCTGATACACATATCATATTCTGCTTGGGTCCTCCTAACAAACGTTTCTGCCTTGAATGAAGTTTGAATTTCAAAATGTGCACACTTGCAAAATCTACAAAAAGTTTTGCATTAAAGCTTTCCATGAAGCCAAACAAAGTGCGTGCTCCTAAATTATCAGCAGAAAACAAAATCAAAACGACATGAAAAGTTTCTTCCACTCCATTAACTACGACAACAACACCCTGTTCACTTTCCAGTTGTTGCAATAAAGATACAACACTATGAAGAATTGGATAGTATGAGTATTTATCTGTGTGTGCATCTAGCGCATACCATAAACCTATCAAAAAAATGCTATCAGTCTTAGACTGATACTCAGGAGCAATATTGCGTATCATCATATATAATGCTTCAAGTTTATGTACACATGTATGGCTCCCAAGCACATTTGTTACTTTTTTCTCTATTCTAATTCTCAATATTCTCCTCTATTCTAATGTACTGTATTTTCCCTTGGGCGTTCACTGCTCGTGTGAGTCCATTTGGCAATTTATATGCTAAAGTTTTTAAACAAACTTCTGAGACTTGAAAAAGTTTGCATCAAAATTATTGTTGTTCAATCAGTGTCTGATATTGATTTTTATGAGCAGGATTGTTAGAAGTTGGTCTAGTTTGTGTATTAAGATCATTTTTATACCTTATGTTTGTAACTGTGACAAACATAACAACTTAAAAATCTAATTGATTTTTTGGGAGTCTTCAATGTCTTAAAGAAAGTTTTTGTTTATTTTTCTTCTCATTTTTCCTACGAACCTTCTTCGCTCTGTTTCTCCCGGGAGAAAAAAGAGCAAAACTTCGTAAAAAAAAAAAACTGCTGGGACAGCCTACTTACATTTTGTTTTTTTAGTCCTAAAATGAGTAGACCGAGTAGACAAAGCTATAAATTTAACACTTTAAGACAACAAAGCTATAATTTAAACACTGACTTGAAGGAATCATATTGTTTTTGTTAGATTGAAAAATAAATACTTTTGTTTGATGCTTGGTAGTAGTATTACAGTGTTGAAAAAATATAATATTGGAAGATACTTTAAGACAATTCATGGCACTTTTGATGTGCATTATCTACTTAAAACTAAAGGTAGAAAGAAAAAAATATTTCAACAAAAATCAAGTATAACTGCACAAGAGACTGTTTTCATTAGACATGTGGAAAATTCTATAAAAACCACCAAAGATCCTTTTAAAACTTCTTACAAAACATGCTTACAAAAAAGAAGAAACCTTTTACTGATGGTGAGTTATTTAAAAAACTTTTTTTGACTGGTGCCCATTGTTTGTTCGATGGATTTTCTAACAAACATGAGATTGATTTGTCAAGACTTAAAGTTGTCAAACAACACCTTCACAAAAAGAATGTATGCAATTTTAACAGACATACAAACTCATTTAATGACTGAATTGGAATTATGATACTAATTCTTGCAACAATTTGACGAGTAAACAGGTATATCATATATAGTATACAGGTAGACATTACATAGTTAGCAGTTATAGTATTTAGTAACTTCACAGTAAAATAGGGTATGTTGCAAATATTACATATAGACAAGGGCAGACAAAGGGTGAGGATATTTATAAAACTCTCAGAACATAAGTCAAGTCAATTAAATTTGTCTTTGCACATGCTGTCTGCAATAACCACCAATAAAGCACTAGCAATGGTATGTAAAAATAAAGGATTTATTGCTCTCTGCAAGAAGGATGAACCATTTTCAAACTTTATGTCCTTCCACTGTATTGTCCACCTGAAATATTTGTGTTGTAAAATACTGCCGTTTTAACACTCTATGAAAATAGTTACAAAAAAAATTAAAGAAATAAAAACATTAATAAAAAGAAAAATTTGTATATCTTACTCTTGCTTGCTAATTGATTTGGAATTTATCACACGCATCATGGAAAAACTGAATTCTTTAAATTTGGAGTTGTAATGGAAAGACAAAAAAATAGCTGAAATGAGTAACTCTGTAAAGACATTTAAAGCTAAATTAAATTTGTTGATATCTGTACATCACTACACCTGCAGATCAATTCTCTCGTGCATTTCCCACATATGAAGAAAATGCTAGATAACAATGAATTAAACGGGTCATCCTTAAGTGTTAAAAAAACAGTTTGAAGAGAGATTTTTGCAATTTACACATGTCGAGCCAATTGTTTCCTTCTGCATTAATCCTTTTATTTGCCAAATAAATGTAATGGAAATGGCCGCATGTGTTTCAGATTTTGATCAAGTAAGACAAAAGAAGAGAAGTTAGATATTTTGGACCTTAAAAATGATATTTTTCTAAAACCCTTAATTATCAGAGGACTTTTGGAATACAGTGGACAGAGAAAAGTTCCCATTTTTAAATAATTTTTCGGCTTGACATATTTGTGCGAATTATTGTATTGAGACATAAACTTAAGAAAATCAAAATGTAGATCTCGACTCACCAATGAGCATCTTTATGATTGTTTGCTACAAGGATTTTTATCATACTCTCATAATTATGAGGCACTGGCTAATGATATACAATGTCAAAGATCACATCAAGAAATTGATACTATGTTTTTTTATAGAATCTTTTGTTGTATTTAGTATTTTTTGTTTATGTTTTGTAAATACATTTCTCTGTGTATATGCAATTTGAATAATTGTTTTATTATTTTAAAACATTTTTGTTTATTATTTATTAATAAATTATGAATATAAGAAAATAAATTAAGGAAAAATGAGAAGTTATGAATATATTCCTGAATGTGCTTTAAAGTTAAAAATAGTTGGGAACCCCTGAGCTAAAGAGTAGCACTGCAAGTTTACTTACTATTTCCATTAGAACATTGAGCTCAGTAACAGTAACTAACTCCACAAGATGAGTTTCAGGATCTTCCTCTTTGTACAAAAGTCTTATATTTATAACATTTTTGCTGTAATGTTGCTGTAATGTTTATCTAATGAGCTAAGAGTTCTTTTCATACCAAGCTCCAGAGTGCAGAATCCCCTCAATATAAACAACTTTACTTCCCAGCATGACTAGTTATTCTCAACACTGAACGTTTGCATTTAAGATCAAATGAAAAATAAAACTTTACACTTTGTAATTTCAGAGGCTCTATAAGTTTCAAAAAAGTACCGTTAGCTTTAGCCTCTTCATTAATCTCATCACACTTAAATGTACAGTTAAGTATGATATACATTAAAAAAACTCAAGTATATTGTACATCTAATGTATAACTTATGCAATAGATACTTATGCATATACATATATACTTAATTTACTTAAATGTCTCAATATATCATATTTATATTATATATATGTATATAAATAAACATTTGTTTATACATACAAACATTTGTTTATTCATACAAATACATTTGTTTATACATAAAAATGAACATACATTTAAGTATATGCATGCATTGAGAAAACTGTTAGTTTTTTTTATACATGTTATTATGAAACTTTTAGTTTTTTTTTCCATATTCTTAGTTAAGAAAATATATATATATGTCATTAAAACAGAAGTATTTATTAGAAAGTAATAATGAAAATGAAAAAAACTACAAATCATAGCTTATCCAAAGCATAGAACTTTATT